TGCTGTCAAGTAAAGAGGCAGAAACTGAACACAGGTATTAACAAGAGAAAACATGAGAACGTGCGCACACAATTATGGCTGAACTCCAGACCATTTGGAGATATATCCTTCGCAATCTTGGGAGATATCATCACAGAACTGGACGCACACAACACAACTAAACAAACATTATCAACATGTAGATGAAAATGGTTAACAAGATTTACCAAAAAATAATTAAATCTAATAAGGGATTCAAATGAAACATTTAATAGAGCAGTTAGAATGTGCAACGCTAGATTACATGAAGTAATTTTTTTTTCATTTCACTTTTTGATGGAATGTGAGCCTCGCTGAAACAAGAATGAATAATAAATGTCAAAGAAGGTGGTGGTGGTGAGCTGCTTTCTCAGCACAATTCCAATGGTGTAGGTATCCCACGGTGTTGCTAGTTGAGAAATACCAGGATTTTGACCCAGCAATGATAGAAATAGAATGCTGTCCAAAGTTTGAATGATGTGCAGATTAGAAGAGGAATGTGTAAGTCATATGTTCCTATATGCTTACTGCCCTTATTGTTCTGTGTGGCAAAGATCACAAGTTTGGAAGGTGCTGTCGAAGAAACCTTAGTGAGTTGCTGGAGTGTTTCCTATAGATATTACAGTAGTCATGGTGCACCAGTAATGGAAGAAGTTAGACATCGTGGATGAGTGCCAGTTGAGTGGATTGCTTTGTGTTGGATCATGCCAAGCTTCTTGAGTATTGTTGGAGCAACACTCCAGTGAATGGAAAGTATTTTGCTATAGACAGTGGAAAAGCTTTAAGGAATTAGATGAGTTAATCATTGGAGAGTACTCACACTCTGTCCTGTTCTTTTGACGACAATATTTATGACTGATCCAGTGAAGCTTCTGGTCAATAGTAACCCTCAGCATGTTGATTGAGGTGGATTCAGCGATGGTATTCTGGTGAAACATGTATTCTCTGCTGGAAATGGTCATTGTCATACAGTTGTGTATCATGCAGTAATTAACAGCCCAAGCAATTGTCACTGTCCACGTCTTTCTGCATGCTTCATTATCTGACGAGTTATAAATGTACTTGAGCACTTGTTATAGTGTAGATAAATACATGGAAGCTAGATAAATACATGGAACAAAGGAATAACAAGGTATGGTGAGAAAGTTAGATATAATGGGAGGTGGAATGCGGAACAGTTTGGAGGGATACAGGCCAAATGCAGTCAAGTGGGACTAGTTAGGGTTGGGAACATAATTGGCATGGACTAGTTGGACCGAAGAGTCTGTTTCCATGCTGTATGACTCCATTATTCTATGACAATACTTGCACTGTAGTTTAAAAATTGATTTTTACCAATGTTTTCTGTTTTTAACTTTGTCCTTTATGAAATCTGGAAGCAGTTGTGAGCTCCATTTAAGAAGCTGCTGCACTTCCCAAAAATATTGCAAAGCTAATGCAAACCAACTAACAATGCATTGAACATAACACTTATCCCTCAAGCCAGAGCTGACCAGAATCCTAAAAAAGATCGATTGTCTGATGGTTGGAGGATACCAGCATTCATGTGATTAAATCTACTGTATTGACATGCAGTGCCACCACTTGGGTATACCAACTACTGTTCAAATGAAGAACAACCATTCTAAAATATTCTGCCAGCAACTCCCCTAGTTTTGTGGCATAACATTCAACAGTAAAGAGGCTCTGGCTTGGATAACAGTTGAGTTTCTTTGACATACTCTAACCCAGGTCATTCAATCCATTCAGATTTTTATTTTCTTGATGATTTGATCATTAGGCACATTTTACTGGCTAGCCACTATGGTCACAGCAGCGGGGAGAATTCCAGAGACCCACCTGTGGTGAGCTGAAAGAAATCCATTTCAATTGATCCTTGAGAGAATCATATCTCTCATCTCTATTTTGTATAAGCAGGAACTTAATATAGCTTCTTTCCACATCCGCCATATAACATAATCCGAAAGCCATACCGAGTTACAAGTACATTTGTCGCTTGTTGGATTGTTCATCCTATTTTTAATTTATTACAAGGATTATGTTTCACTTTTATTGTCACTAACACTCCAATGTCTTTGCCTGTAATAATCTCAAAACCTCTTAATGCTGTAAGTAATCAATGATTTCAGGATTTGAGGCTGAAATGACTATAATTGTCATTATGCACCCCATTGAATGATAACATTATAAAGACTTTTTTGCATGTGGTTGTTCATTCCTGAACAATGGCTTTATGCTTCCTCCCTAAGCTCCAGAAGATAAATCTGGCACAGTGACAATGTCTTGTTATTACCAATCAACTGTATCAAGTGGAAATACGGGATAAAATTTTGGTCAATCCTGTTCTACAGCGAATTTTACATGTAGTGCACTGTAGGAAGTATCAGTTCTTCCCACCAACCACTTGTGATACTTATGGTATTTAATGAATTAGGTAACAGTAAACTCTGATTGCCACATTAAAGCAAGTGAAAATTGACTTTAAAATGGTGTGTTGTACGCAAGATGACTCTCGGCTGACACAACAGAATGCAGAAATGGAAAATGATGTTAAAAGTAATCACAATGCTCTGCAGAACCAATAGTTGAATGTTGGTCATGCTTCGAAGATTGAGGTTTGATGTTTGTAGGATAATTCTGTGTGAATAAGTATAGCACTGTTGAAAATCTGCAAAGGCTTAAATGCTAAGAAAGAGTTGGAGACAAGTTGAGACTCAAAACATTACACTGAGCAGTCAATGTTTCAATGCCGGCTTGGTTGCAGTCATACAATGATGCTATCTGCAATTGCACTGTTGGCTTTTCATCCTTCAATTCATGCATTGTTGTGTCCCTTTCTGCAGAAAAGGGCTGTTGAAGATAGCAGAAGCCCACATCCGTAACGTAACATTGTGTATTCAGTTTTCTTGTTCTGTGCAATTTCAAAGCCTTCAGTTGTTTATCGTCTTCTGTAATCCTGTAAAGTTTTGAAATAAGTGCAACCATAAAGTCAAACAATACTACCCTGCATTCACTTAATTTCATTCTGCCTTCCTTTGAAGCTTTCAAAAGATCGTGATTGCAGCTTGTGCCCAGAGCACGTTCCTGGCCGTAAATTACTTTTAAAAGAGAAAATAGTGTTGGTATCTTAAAATGCAAATTTCAAAACTACCCTTTTGATAAAGGTTAGCTGCTGATATCACACTCCTAATGTGATTCATTTCTGAAGAAGGGTCCCAACCCAAAATGTCAATTTTCCTGCTCCTCTGATGCTGCCTGGCCTGCTGTGTTCCTCCAGCTCCACACTGTGTTGTCTCTGACTCCAGCATCTGCAGTTCTTGCTATCTCATTCGGATGGTATTTACTCTTTGGAAGCAGAAATCAATAATGGGGAATATAGTGATTACACGCTCGCAGCATAACAGTTTACACATAAGAGCTGATTTCAGGAACTGAGGTCAAAGAGTTCACCTCTTCGAATATACAATACACACATCTACCGTACTAACATACAAGTATTTTCCAAATAAATCATATAAAAAATGAGTTTTTGCCCTTTTTCAAGAGAAAATATAATTGCAAGAGAAAATATAATTACAAGAAACACCTTTTTTAATAACACATTTCTTGGATTTCTTTTTTTGCCTTGTTGAAATCAACAGATAATTTAAGATGTGGACGCAGGACATTCAAGCTAATCTCACATTGTTATTGCAATCGCTACCCAAAAAGAATGCTATGTTCAGGGACAGTGAGTTGGAAGGCATGGCATTGCACACGATTGTGTTTAAACACTAGTTTCACAAAGGGTGACGAAGTAGTTGCTTTCTTTCAAGTTTGATTCATAATTTGTAGAAGCAGCTAACTCATAATCAGTATTCTGATATTCCCAATTTTAACAACAGCATACTCGCATGTTTAGCTGAAGTATGTATGAAAGACAAGATGATGTGAAATTGTTGCTATCATATTTATAACTTCAATCAAACTTGACTGTTCATGTTCCTATGACACATGAATAATTTCCAGACATATTTTAATGAGATGGATAGGTTTGCTCTTAGGAAAAGATAAAGAGAAATATTCTTCTTTGCCTATTATTTTCGGTGAAAAACTTGGATGATAAAGCAGTGTGACTGTGTGTATTTTTCTCCAGTTGTTAATTTTACTGTGAAAATAATACAAAACCAGAGAGTACAATTTTATATATTTTGGAACTTTTCTCTCCTTACAATTATTAAATAAAGCCTTTCACAGATTAATTTTTTACAAATGAATTGTTTTAAAAGTGAGTAAGAGTTTTTTTTTCTGCACTCCAAGTGACTCACATTGTCTTCTGTATTTAGTTGGTAAGTACAAATCTTGGACCTCCTGAGTTCAGTGGATTCTTTTTTACAATACTCTAATAAAATTAAATCCAGAGTCTTTATGAATTTAAATGTTAGAATTATTTACATATTGAAAAAAGGATAAATATTAACTTGGATCACTAACTAAGCTACAGTCTAACATCAAGTCACTGAGACCAATTCTGATATTGGACACATTCCCTTACAGTACACCACTTCTATACAATCAAGTACATGTTCTATGTAGTAACAAGACAAATATCTGTGTAATTGTACAGATGTGTGTAAGAGACTGTGTGTGTGTGTGTGTGTATCTGTGTTTGTATATCCATCAGAATTTCTATTTTCAATATGTATGTCAGTGCAAATATAGGTGCCAACTGTGGCTTGTTGATCAACACCAAGATGACATAAAATTTCAGAAGCAGATGTTAGCCGTGAAAAATAAGGCATGAGCAGAGATCACCCGTTCTTTCTCCCCCCACAACCCCCACCTCTCACCTCAGGTCAATGGAGAGCGTCACGTGTGGTACTTGTAGCAGACTTTGTCTTTCTAGAATTGGCTGACTGAGGCCTCAAAGAAAATGTTGCAGATATCTTTCCCACTCTTCGCAGGTTGCATTTGTACCATCTCTCACAGATTGGAGAATGTTAGTCACTTGAATATGGATTAGAATCTGGTTTACTTGGTTATGACCAGCTGTTGTGGGAAAACATGAACAGTTATTTCAAAGACATATGAAATATAGACCCATAGAAATTTCTAGACTAATATCATCTCCTTCACCTATCAGACTGGCATGATGCAAATGTTAATAATTCATAATCATAGAATTAACCTTATAGTTAGCCCACAGATCAAGGCAAGATGTGAAGAAATTTCAGGTGGACAGTCTGGGAATCATAGACCTAAAGTATCTTTTCTGTTTACTCCTCCCTCCTTTCCACCATTTCCTCCCCCCCTACACCATGCATACGACACTTTATGTTATATCTCAAATGTGCTCTAACATCACTATAAAAGCTGTAGTAGCATTATTTTTCACCTGTTCACTAGCATCCCTGACAGCTGCCTTTATAAACCGGTTTTGGACTTCTTGCCGATGTTTGTTTGTGTGCTGTTTTGCAAAGCTTTTACCAAACTGGGCTGCCTCGAGCAATTGCATTCCTCCTGACTCCAGCACCCACACTCGATTTGTACCACCACCAACTTCCCCCACCCCACTTTCCACTGTCTGTTTTGTTAGTGACTCAAGATTCATTTTGTTGAAATGTACAAGTTGTCTCTGGGAGAACAACAGCGTTAACAAGTCCACAAATAATTGTAGTGAGACCCAGTTGCAGGTTGGCCTTGAGCCTGTTCGCTAAGGTGTGCACTATCCTGTACACAATCAAAAGCAGAAGTTGCTGGAAAAGCTCAGCAGGTCTGGCAGCAT